CAAAGCCTCGGCGATGTAGTATTTGCGGAAAGACCGGGCATACTGCAAGGACCTGTCAAGAGTCAATTGAGGTTAATAGGGAATAGTCTAGCGATTAATTTTAATTGATCAGATATGTTGTGGTGTTTTATTTCTCTTTCTGAGTCTTCACGTGTAGATTGGTGGAGCACTCGCTTGTCTGGAGCACTCGCTTATCATGCACGTTAAATTAAACATGATTATGTAAACCACTTCTTCGCGGCATCAAATTGCCCCCCCACGTCCTGCCGACCAAGCTTCAACACCACGTGCCTCTTTCACAGATGCCAATGCCTTGTTCCGTTGTCTTGAACGGTCAACTCAATGCAAGTCTACAAGCCACAGTGGTTCCAGACTCGGGCAGGGAGAGGTGCTGCCCCCATTGGGTTAACTGTCCTTCATCAAGGCATTGACTGCTTGCTTGATTGCTTGCTCTTCACAAGTCGGATAATTCTGTTCGGATACCCACACGGGCTGCCAAGTCTGGCTGACAAGGGACCCCTAAACCAGTCGCTGATGAAGCAAGTCATTTGTGTTTCTGCTGCTCAGCAAAGATCGACGCCCTTCTCCAGACAATTAGCTTACATGGTATTGTCTTCTTGGCACCTCTGGCCTATCGAAACTGGTCCCTCGGAGACGTTTTTGTTCAGCTCAATAACTACTAGGTAAGTAGGTACTGAAACACTTGGAGCGTCGGTACGCCGGTACTCAGGCTCCGGTCGCGCTTCTAACAAGGATAAATAAGTCAAGTTAATCTTCAGAGGGCTCTGCCAAGTGAAGCCAAGCGTGCCTTGGCCAACCTAAGGGTCCGGTCCGTCAGCTCAAAGCAATTAATTCATCGTTGCGGCGCGCGCTTGGCACATCACGCAGTCCGACCTTTGTTTAAACTGCCTGCCACACAGTTTTGCGATGGCATCCCACACCCATTCATTCATTCATTCAATTCATTCATAGCTCGCGGCCTGCTCTGGTTCTGACTATACTCTGTTTCTGTACCCTATGCTATGCTATGGAAGCACAGCCATGAGAATTGCGATCCTCCCCTCTTCCTCTTTGGACATTGCCTGTCCGCAATCCCAGTAATTGTCTTGTAATTTGCCCGTCGCCCATCGGGTCCTCAGCCCACCCCCTCTGATCTGAACTGGAACTTTTGCAACTGATGCTCATCCCCGTCGCGAATCATGTCTATTCTCTCGAGATATT